GGAGGGTAAATAAAAGTTACACAAATAAAACTCACAAAACCACATGTATCAAATACGATACTCGTAGCTTTAAAGGGACTGGGATCGATGAGGAGTGCATTGCAGAGGTCCAGCTGAAAAGCCAGGTTTTCTTGTTGCAGCTCCAGTGAACCTCTTGTTGCTTTATTTGCACCAAATAAAGCTTCCTAACATATCGATATTCTGCGTAGGCTACTTCAGTCTGAAGAGTCACTGATAACAGGCTCGCTGCTTTTATCTGGACTTTCTAACTGAAAGGACAACCAGCTTTAACACGGACGTCTCCGGGACATTTTCCAGGATGGCACTTTCCAGCCTGCTTCTGAGCCTGGCTGCTCGGGCACTTACGTTTCTCTTCTTTCTGCTCGTCATTGCGTTTCTTGGCTACTGCTTGTACATTAAATACATTCATATGAAGTATGACCACATCCCCGGGCCGCCGAGGGACAGGTAGGAAAGGTCGTCGGCTGAAGCAGTTATGCGGACGTTACTTGAGAGTAACTCGCTGTTTCCTCCTCAGTTTTTTCTTCGGACACTCACCAACGATGTTGAAGGCGATGAAAAATGACGGAATTATACACGACAAATTTCTGGAGTGGTAAGTTTAGCGCAAACAAAGTTTTTATGCGGAAAAAACAACACGTCAAACCATTAAGCTAACACAATATGTAGGTCAGTGTTTGGGACTGCTGCCAGCCAATGCTAGCTAGCCTGGCTGTATTGAACTGAATGCAGTTTCCTTTTTCACAGCATATTTTGCCGCTAATTGCCTGTTAATTTCTGCCTATGTAACAAATACATTGCAGTTCTTACTGTACTCTTTGTATTACAGTATTAATATCATTCGCCTTTAAAAGATCTAATTAAGATGTCACCTGCAGGGCGGAGAAGTATGGACCTGTTTACAGGATAAATATGTTTCACTACGTTTCACTGTGTACGTACTGTCCAGAGGCCACCAAGGTAAACACTTGTCACCTGACTGTTTTCACATCAGTACACAGGTGTCATTAATAAAGGGTCTATTTCTGTAAATCTGTGAATTATTGTGATTAGCAGTACCTGTGTATCTCTGCTGTTTCAGTTTAAAATGACTACAGTGCAACAAACCTGTTGTGTGTGAAAGTGCACCCATCAATCCTGTTGGCAGAGGTCCCTGCTAATAAACAGTGCCAGCTACTGGCCTTTTGGGGACTTAACCTGTTTGGTCAAAGGTGATGTATCAGCTTATCTGAGTCACTTTATTGTACTTATGTGTACATACCTTATTAGTCATAATGAATAGAACTTGATAGTATTACCATGTTGTGATACTCTCCTTGTGTCACATCTTAGCATTTTATTTAACTCCTGACCTCAGTGATCATATTACAGGAGCCTTGTACGAATTTATGATGATGACATTTTCATGCTGTCTATCGTAATTTTTAACAGTGATGTTTGCAGGGTTGTTGTTTTGAAACTCATTGCATAATACTTTTGTGGTTGGTTGGGACAGTGATTGCCAGTATCAGGCACCTGCCCGCCTGGCAGGAGAGAGGGTGAATGTGTTGCTATAATTTGTTTAATGTTTTTATTATTTCTTTATTGTCACTGAATTTTGGATTCTTTTGCCCCTCAGCGACTTTAATTTGTTCTTGAAGTCACTACACAGATTTTTATTTTTTATTTTTTTTAATCATTGTCTTAACTGTCTTCAAGGTTTTTAGGTGATGGTCTGATAACAGCACGGGATCATGAGCGGTGGTACAAACAGCGACGCATCATGGACCCTGCGTTCAGCAGCCTGTGAGTAATGAAATTATAATAACGAACAGCGACTAATCCTTTAGTCGCTGTTCCTCTGTATCAAACTTTGTTTTTTCCAGGTATCTGAGAGGTCTAATGGGAACCTTCAATGAGACAGCAGAGAAACTGATGGATAAACTTGCAGAGCTTGCTGACAGTAAAACAGAAGCTAATATGCTCCATCTCATCAACTGTGTCACCCTGGATGTTATTACTAAGGTTTTTAGAGCTTCCTTAACATGCTGGTTTTTTTCTTAATACTGAAGAATAAAAAAACATGTTTATTATAACTTTTCTAACTTTTTATAAAGGCTACAATCATGTTCTAAGTGTGAGTGAATTGCTGTGCATGTCTTATCTTGATAACAGGTTGCCTTTGGGGTGGACTTGGACCTCTTGAAGCATAGTTCACCTTTCCCTAAAGCCATTGAGACATGTCTGAAAGGAATGGTTACCTATGTTAGAGACAGATTTTTTGAGGTATTACTTCAGCGTTTGTTGTTATGAAGTATGTCTGCCAACAACATTGTTATCAGGATGCCAGGCTAAACCCTTCAGTCTGCCATTCCAGTACAATCCAAAGAACAGACGATACGTCAATGAGGTGAGGGAAGCGTGCCGCCTGCTCCGTACAACTGGAGCCAAGTGGATCAGTGAGAGAAAGACCGCCATGCAAAACGGTGACGAGGTCCCCAAAGACATCCTGACACAAATCATCAAAACTGCAAGCCAAGGTTGGAGTTCCCAAATTTCACATTAGACTAGACTAGAGCAATATTTTATTCTCTTTGTGACGAGACAAAGTGAATAGAACAAATGTGACCCACAGTTTTTGATGCCTTCTCAGTTCGGTGTATGTGGTTTGTAAGTAATGTTGGAAACCAGGAGAAGTTAAATATCGATGTATCTGTCCATTCTCTCCTCATTTCAGAGGAAAACATGACTGAAGAAGATGAAGAATTTATGCTGGACAATTTTGTGACATTTTTCATTGCAGGTGAGTCTCTGTTGTTTCAGCTTTGATGTGTGAAATGCAGCTGGAAGCTCCTTTGTAGCGTCAGACGAAGCTCACAGCACTGAAGAGTGTGTTGTATTTTCAGTTTTACACAATGTGGCCACTGTTGTCTGTGAATTGTTGTCACGTGTTCACTTAGCATGGACAAAACTGTCCTTTCTTATCCAGAGGGGCTGAGTAATATCTGCACACACACACTGTGTCACACAACTCTAGTTCCTGTGTTACTGACTGTTTGTCTCAAATGTAAAAAAAAAAAAAAATACATATTTATTACTCTTTTTGATCTTGGCCGGGACGATTACATTTACAAATGAATAAAATAGCAATCAAGAAAAAGAAACACATGATCTGTTTTTGTTACATAATGATATTATCGATTTTAAGTTAACTAGGCTTTTTAAGACTCAAAGAGTTGTGATGCACAAATTAGGATTACAACTTCTTGATTGAGGTAATATTCTGATGCATTATTGACAAACTGGTAACATTTTAGGCCAAGAAACAACAGCCAATCAACTGGGATTTTGCATCATGGCGCTTGGAAGACATCCTGAAATACTGGAGAAGTAAGAAGTCAAACAGAACTCAACAATTTACACTTTCTATTTACAACTTTCTATATTTTTGCATGAATATAACCTGAAACATGATCTGACTGAACCTATAAGGTCCTACAAGTAAAGAGGACTTAAACAAAAGTCTGTGAGATCTTCAGAAATCTTCTTGCCGTGACACACTTGTTGTACAGTCAGTCTGATCCCAGTTCTTACAATCAGTGTGTGCCTCAGATCTGACTGTCAACCCGTTGTGTGAAAACAACTTCTTCTAATTTGATCCATCCAAATATCAAACATCAAAAATATTCCCAATCCTGAGATTATATAAATCTCAAGCCCACAGACATTTATGTAGATGTGCATTTTTCTCTATAAAAAAATGTAGTTTTACATCTGTTTCTACATATTTACTCCTATGACCTGTGTTAACCTCTAAAGATGATTTAGGTAATATTTCTGCAGTTATAACTGTGTAATATATAGAGTGAGTTTTTGGTTTTCTAAATTATATTTTTATTTCTTAGAGCAAAGAAAGAGGTCGATGATGTCATTGGGATGAAACGTGACATAAGCTATGACGACTTAGGAGAGCTGGTCTACCTGTCACAGGTACATGTGGTAAATTTAGTTATTCATTTATTTATTTTAATAACTCACCCAAAGTGTGCACTTCTCATTGTAACCTTCCTTCAGGTGTTAAAAGAGACTCTAAGAATTTACCCCACAGCTCCGGGCACATCTCGTGATGTTGCTGAAGACATGGTGATTGACGGTATCCACATACCCGGGGGATTTAGCGTTGTTGTGAGTCATTTTCTTTTTAATATGTTTGTAAGTCTAAATGATAACTACATACTAAAGACAACAAATATATGAAGCAAGATATATGGAATTATGTAGCGAAGAAAAAAAGATAAATAACTCTAAATATGTTTTATAGAGTCCTTCAAGTCCCTTAACTTTGTTGACAGCGCTGTAAACTCTTGGCCTTCTCTCAATGAGCTTCATGATGTAGGCACATGAAGTGGTTTCAATTCACAGGTCTGCCTTTTCAGGGTTCATTTGTGGTATTTCTCTCCGCCTCAATAGAGTTGGGATAATCAGTTGTGTTGTGCAGAAGTCAGGTTGGTACACAGCTGACAGCCCTGATCTGATTGGTTCTCGCCATAATATGAATTCTAAGTAAAGAAAAAATGACAGTCCTTCATTATTTTAAGAACTGAAAGTCAGTCTGGAAAATTGCTTAAACTTTGGGGACACATTCAAAGATCAGCAAGTGCTACGACGAGACTGACTCACATGAGAACGGCACCAGGAAAGGAAGACCAAGAGTCGCCTCTGCTGCTGAGGATAAACTCATCCATGTCACCAGCCTCAGAATTAGCAAGTTAACAGCAGCTCAGATTAGAGCTCAGATAGATGCACACAGAGTTCCAGTAGCAGACACATCTCTACATCAACTGTTCAGAGGAGACTGTGAATCAGGCCTTTATGGTCAAATAGCTGCTAAGAAACCATGACTAAGGAAAAGCAACAAGCAGAAGAAATTTGTTTGGGCCAAGAAACACAACGAATGGACAGACCAGTGGAAATCTGTGCTTTGGTCTGATGAGTGCAAATTTGAGATCTTTGGTTCCACCTGCTGTGTCTTTGTGTGATGCACAAAATGTAACCGGATGGTCTCTACATGAATGGTTCCCACCATGAAGTATGGAGCAGGAGGTGTGATGGTGTGGGGGGATCGAGAGAATGCAAAGGGTGGCTATTTGGAAGAATCTAAAATATAAACATGTTTTGAGTTATTTCACATTTTTTGTTTACTACATAATGCCATATGTGTTGATTCACAGTTTTGATGTGTTCAGTGAGAATCTGCAATGTAAATAGTCATGAAAAAAAGAAAAACCCATAATAAAAAAAATAAGAAGATATGTCCAAACCTTTGACTGGTAGCGTATGTATAAACAAAACTGTTACAAAGTTGCCAGAAAAACATAAAAAATGAGGTCTTATTCAAGCAAGAACAAATACATTTATGGTTAAAATGTGAAATATTTTCCTATTTAGTTCAGCTCCTATGTGAGCGGGAGACTGGACAAATTCTTCGAGGATCCACTAAAATTTGATCCAGACAGATTTCACCCAGATGCTCCCAAGTAAGAAACACACTGTTTCACCATGCTGACTTTATTCCGTTTCATGTTTGCACACACTTTAT